CAAAAACACATAACCACAAACACACAACCACAAACACACACAACCACAAACACACAACCACAAACACACACCCACAAACGCACAACCACAAACACACAACCACAAACACACAACCACAAACGCACAACCACAAACACACAACCACCAAAAAAACATCAAACACACAACCACAAACACACAACCACAAAAAACAACAAACACACAACCACAAACACAACCACAAACACAACAAATACACGACAACAAACACAACAACAAAAACACACAGCCACAAACGCAACCACAAACACAATCACGAACACACACACCCACAAACACAACCGCTAATACATCCACAAACACACAACCACAAACACACAGCCACAAACACACAATCACAACCACAACCACAACCACACAGCACACAACCACAACCACAACACGCAATCACAGCACACAACCCGAGGACCCACAAGCAAAACCGAGAACTACAATACTCAGGACCATGGCAACATGCTCCTCACTATGGCATCAAGACAAATGATTGAAATGTCATGGTGGGGATCACTCGAAGTAAAGTAGTTTGTAACGAGAAGCCCCAACGGGCTTATGGAAGCGATGCCGACACAGGTTCATATTGCATTATTTGCATCACGCGCTCGCAAAAAATGAGCAAAAACAAAAACCATTAACACCAGCAGGCTCTGGCAAAAATGCTACCTCGAAACTACGTCTCCCCGCACACCGCTCATTGATCACTTTGTTTGCTTAAAACAATTCAGCCTAGCCTATCGGCTGGCTTTCGTAAGATTCTAGATCAGCCTACACCCGCAATCAAGAAACTGTAGTGTTCACAACTCTTCTGCGTTTTACTTGGCAAGGGAAACAACAACCGAAGAAACTCACTTGCAAACAAACTGATGCATGGTTTTATGGGTGGCCAAACATGCGAACCGTTCCTCTTATTCCAAACTTCCAGTATACCATAGACCTCAACTCACAAGCACTTCCTGTTCATCTGGATGAGGATGTCCTCATACTCCCAGAAGAACCGTTACCAAGTACAGTACTATCGGAATGGAAAATCGGGTTGCGCCGATGTTGTTTCTTGCGCCCGGTGTCATATTTCCATCCATCTACTTGTTCACGGCAGTGTTGTGGATGCACAGTTGTGTGTCGATGGCAAGTGACTGCCTCATCATGGAGTAAAAACTCGGGTTGATATGTTGTCATGGCTGTAAGGAAGCCAAATGGGTTCAATTGCAGAACTAACTACCAGGTAACTACGTTTGCATCAGTTCTTCCACTAGCAAATCTGCAGCACTGGCATTTGATGGTAAAGGGGACCCTCCCATTTTGAAACACGCAAACACACCAGCCTCCTGATTGCTGTTGGCAATCATCAACGGATGTAAAAAGGACTTCATGCGAACCACGCACAAACGGTCGAAACCAATGCAACGGAACTGCCCCCAATCTGGTACGTAGTGATTTTCGGTCAACCAGAACCACGCAAAACTTGACAAGGACAGCAACAACAATAACATGTTTACACGGTGATGATTCAACATCCAAAAGATCTATATCTGGCCAGATATACATACCTCTGAGGTTTGTTTTTTTGGGATGTTTGTGGGTTTAGTGGCATCCAATTGGAACATGGTCAACATTTGGTCAACCACGACGCGACGATTCCGAAAATTCATCCGCCATTGCCTGTCTCGGCTGCTCTTCCCCAATGTTGATCTGCAGGCGCGTAGGAACATTGCCGATTGAATTCTGTAAACCAGGTCCAGTGGTGATGCAGTTTGTTAAACACAGTTGTTCGTGCAATCCGTGTTGTCATGTCTAAGCCACTTAACTGTTGAAGTATTAACTATATATAATAAAACGCGCGAAAAATATGCAATGTTTCCCGGAACTGTTCCCAAAGCATCTCAAGGCGCATGTTTTCAACAAGTAACTTCAACAAACGTCGCCAACGGACTGTCAGATTTGATGCCAATACCAGCCAGTAATGTTGACCTTTGATTAATAAAGATCCCCACAGTAATGACTGTTTTTCCTGCACTGATTAATAAAGGCCCCCAGAATAATGTTTTTTTTGAGGGATAGGTTGTTTGGTGATTTTTTCATTGTTATATATTGTTATTTTTACTCTCTGGCTTACTGATTTTTTAGATCTTTGGATGCAGATTTCCAGTGGCAGCAAAAGATTCTTTGGGATTAAGGTCTTTGGATGCAGATTTCCTTTAGGAATTGGAGATTTCCATTGAGATTTGGTGGATTTTGAAGGTCTGTGGATGCAAATTTCCTTTAGGAATTGGAGATTTCCATTGAGATTT